TAACCTTTATTCTTTTATTTATACACTTATAAAATGGATTATTGGAAGCAATATAATTCTTAAAACTTATTAAATGTAGTTTTAACACTTTTGACGTGTTTCAGATTTTTGGACAAGGCAATGATAATTGATGAAATTGATGCATCAAGCAACACAAGAAATCCTTGGAGGCTATGCTCATTAAACCAAGTGGAAGAAATAAAGCTAGTGTTAGGCCTCATACCCATATGGCTAACAAGCTTGTACTTCAATTTAGCTCAGGCTCAATCATCAACCTTCTTCACCAAACAAGGTAGCACAATGGTTAGATCACTAGGACCTCACTTCATCATCCCGCCGGCTTCACTTCAATGCATCTCCGGCTTCGTTATCATGATCTTCATCCCGGTCTATGACAGACTTCTTGTTCCTCTGCTAAGACAATTCACAGGCAAACCTACAGGCATCACAATGCTTCAAAGAATAGGCATTGGCTTATTCCTATCTTCTCTAACCATGCTTGTGGCTGCCCTAATAGAGTCCAAAAGGGTTAAAATAGCAAGTGATTATAATCTCTTGGACAATCCAAAAGCAATATTGCCAATTAGGGTTTGGTGGTTGCTTCCTCAGTATATTCTGTTGGGGTTTGTGGATGCCTTATCTATAGTAGGGCTTCAACATCTGTGTTATGATCAAATGCCAGAGGCTATGAGAAGCTTGGGAGCTGCATTTTATATCAGTAATGCTGGAGTTGCAAATTTTATCAGCAGTGCTCTTATATCTATTGTGGAATCAGCAAGCAAAAGAAATGGCTTGGGAATAATCTGAATAGGTCACATCTGGATTATTACTATTTTCTGCTTGCTGGATTAGGGTTTTTGAATTTGGCTGTTTATGTGCTTGTTGCTAAGAGGTATGTTTACAAAAAAAGTTGAAGGTTATGATGAAAGAAAAGAGGAAGAGATGAAGGGTTTTAATGGACTTGCCAATCAGCATGATGAAGAAAATGCCCGTGGTTAAGGCAGCACTTGTATATTGATTTATTGTTGTTTTTGTCCTTTTTTTTTTTTGCTAAGAAATGTAAGAATAACGAGTAATGACAACCTATAGATTTGCTATCAATTTTACAATTTTAGATTGGTTAACGCCTCCGGCTCCACTCGTTACAGTGGAGAGCTCAAACTAACTGCCACACTATTCATAATAATGCTCTAATTCCCATATGTTTTATATATAAATATTGATAATATTGGTGTATTCTGTTTATACAGATACTATTAAAAGACAAGAAACTTGGGAAGGATTTCCTCACAATTTCTTGGTGGCAAATTTTAATTGTTGCGATAGAATTTCAAAGTTTCCATCACAAACGCTTTATGGATCTATTATGAAATAAATTTTGGTATCACAAAATTTTGCCATAAATCTGTCACAATGCCTATAAAAAAGTTCAAGGAAATGATGAAACGGAAAGAGGAAGAGATCACGGGACGTCACAGCCAACATGGATGAAGATTTTTCCTTTCCATAAATTAGCATTTAATTTGCATTGATAAGTTTGTTTTTGTCAAAATAATTAGGCATTGTATTGAATAGAATGGGTTACGAATGTTAAAATTTTTTTTTGAGAAAACCATTTTACAAGTGACTATACTTTTTTCTAATTTTTTATTTTGGTACCTGTATGTTTTTCTCTCTTAATTCTATACTTTAATTTAATTTGTTATTTTAGTAGAATTAGTTGTCGTACAATGGCTAACGATGTTAATAGGAAAAGTTTACAAGAACTAACAATACTAGCAAAGCAAAATCAAAGTATTTGATTATGAGAGAAAAACACAAGGGAGAATTACAATTAGGTTCCACACAAGGGAATTAAATACAACAAGGTCCTTTGAAATCATGAAATTATTCTGAAATCTCAAGAGACTTTTTTGCAATAAATTTTATTTGTTTCATTACCAAATTATCCTTCTTCTTTTTTTTTTTTAAATTTGCATTGACAATTGAAAGGGCAGTGGTTGACAACTTACGGTACAATGATTGACAAGTATCGGGCTGGTTTGACAACTCATGCGTTACATTTTGTAATATGTTGAGAAAATGTGTTATCAAACCAGCTGCGATACTTATCAATTCTTGCACCCTAAGTTGTCAACCATTGCTCTTTCAGTTGTCAATGCAAACTTAAAAAAAAAAAAAAAGAAGGATAATTTGGTAATTAAATAAATAAAATTTATTGCAAAAAGGTCCCTTGGGACTTCATAATAATTTCATGATTTCAAGAGACTTTTTTGTATTTAATTCTCTTGGATGGAATCTAATTGCAATTTTCCCAAAACATAAAGGTACCAAATTAAAATTAAAAAATATATGGGTCTAAATACGGAATAGTTTTCTCTAAATTTTTTTATAACAATACTAAAAGGCCCAGCTGTACTCTCTGCCGTTGAGAGAAAAAAAAAAAAAAAAAAGAGGGGAGGAGAGCTCCATTTTCCTCATACCGGGCGAGAGACTTTCACGAATTCCCATAGTTTCAACAATTATGCTAGGTATACAAGGTAAAACCACAAAATGTAAAAATCAAACATGCATGTAATTTTTTTCTTGTTATTCTTTACCCGACGATAGGAATTCACACACTCATCACAATTAGGAGTAAACACATTTCAAATAATATTTAAGGAGACGCTAAGTATCAGTTGAGTTGATCCGCTCTAACAAATGCGCACGTATAATTAGCAGAAGATCCAAAGGCGCATGATTCATACGGTAATAAACGACAGAGTAAAATCAAAGTCACGTTGCGTTGCAGAAATTGTTGAAAGGAACTGATCCTTCCTTTGACGCATTTAATTGCAAGCAAGACACTTTCAACGAAATCCTAATGTACTTCACAAAATCTTCAAAAACTGTCACTACTCAGCTCATCATCTCTAGCTATCTCTATACAAATAATGAGATTTGCTGTAATCTTTATAATACATTTTTAAAAAAAATAATACGTACCTTTCATCCTTAATATAAGAGCTGATATAAGAATTAAATAACTAATTTGTAGATATTGAAAAAATTTATAACAAATAAATATTGTCTCTCCTAAAATACCTCAATCAATCATGTGTATTGAAATTACCTTTTCATGAAAACTCCTTAACATTTGTAATAATTATATAATTACTTGTGGGCAAAATAAATAAATATTAGAGACAAAGTAGATTATGATATTATATTTAAGACCAAATTGAATTTTCAATTAGTTTTTATATTGGAGTTAGTGTGTATTTTCATTATTGTAAGTACAAATTAAATAACCATAAAGTTTAATTTGACTTATGCACAATTTAAAACGTTAATTAAAATTGTCGGCTTAATGAGGTTTGATTCAATTAATACATGCCGGCTTGAGTAGGCTACGTGCAGATTGACTATTGAGTCTTGTTTAAACAACTTGGGCGTAAGTAAAGTCATAATCTTCCTCCAATTGGGTTGGCCCGCAAAGAAATTGTTCCTTTTTAAGTTTTTTTTATTCTCTATTTGATTTCTGCAGCCACTGATTAAATTTATTTCTATTTTTCTGTTTGTCTGACTGTTAATTATTTGGATAAAAAAGAGATAAAATTAAAAAGTCATTAAATTTTAAATCAAAATTAATTTAAATTTTTTTCATAATTTCAATAAACAAGTTAAAATTAACTTATAAATAGTACTAGATAAGTACTGAAAGGATATCAACTCTTTTTCTAATCGGTCAATCATATTTGGTGGCACGATTATAGGATTAATATATTTAATTAACAGCTCAATAAAAAAAAGAAAAAAAAATAGAGAAAAAAGAAAGAGGGGAAAGGAATATATGCTGTTGGTGTTTTAAAAGACTTATCTAAATGTCAATCAAATCAAGGTGTGTGATAATTATTTAAAAAAATAGTAATTTTCTGGTTCTTAATGTAGGACCTAATTAGAAATTGATTTTAGTCTTATCTATAAGTCTTTGTTTATCCATTTTTTTTCAAAATTAACTCTATTGGTATTCTCCTCACCAAAATGAGAAAGGGAATTAATAAATATGCTTATGATGTTTTAGAAAAAACATATAATATAAACTATAATTTAACTAGCATTCTTAATTAACTTAAATTAGTTAGTTAGATCCGACTTGGAGAATAGGAGGAGTAACTTTCTAACATACATGACTCTTGCAAGCGTTAAACATCCTTCTATATATTAATGCTGAAAGACAAGTTGTAATATACTCTGCCTCTTTTTTCTTTCTTATTGTTATCTTATGGGATTAGGATCCTCAAAGACAGACAGACAGACAGACACACACACGCACATTTTAAGCCTGCGAAAAAAAGTTTTATTAGAAATGATTTCCTTTATATATTTTGGAGCCCGGCCCACACATCCAATTCAAAACTAATTAATTTCTCAGGTATTTATTATTATAAGAACCAACCTATTCATAATTTTATATACTTTTAAAAAGTTATTTAAAATTAGCCAATGCTTTAAAAATTTTAAAATTATCCAAAAAATTATTTAAGAAATATCATATCATATATAGGACATCTGGAGGGGAAACAAGCAGTTTTATACGTACTTCTTAAACATAGGGCCTTATATATATAAACCATAAGAAATGTCCTTATAGTAAAGACCCAAAGAAATAGTTTGTTCCAGATCATGGATATTTTCGTTTGAAGGAGGAAAAGGGATAGATAGCTCTAGGCATATATCAGGCCACTTGAGCAGACATAGCAGCAAGTTTCTTCTAATTTTTTTCATATATCCAAGCAGATAGCCATGAATACAAGTAATTAACAACTAGACAGTACATAACGTTGAATTAAAGCCAGCTTATATTAATTTCTGCCGATTTCTTTAATTTTTAGATATCTATAACATTAACTAATCAAATATATATATATATGATGGGACTCATGTTTATATATATAAATGATACACATCGTGTTTCTTCCAATTCTCAGCTAGCTAAGCCCACTTCATACCCAACTATGGATACAACAAATGCAGCTTCAAAGAAAGCCAATTATTCTTCAAGTGATGATGATAATAAACCTTCAACAGGTGGCTGGAATGCTGTCTTCTTTCTCACATGTAAGCTCCATTTCTACTTTTTTTCTCTCTCTCATATCATCAAACTTAGTATTTCTTCCACTCCCTAATATAGAAGTTAGTTGAAGAGTTTAATTTAATCCTTAATATAAAATTACTATCCATTTATCTTTTATATTTATTATTTTCTCGAAAACTAATTTACCCAATTCATAAATTGATGTGTGTGTATATATTATCCAATGTCAAACATGGGTATTTTAGGACTAGCGGGTAATATTTGTTATAATTAACTAATTCATCTAAATTTCTTAATTTATCCAACTTAATTTACAGCTCTTATCTTAAGGACAAGAGGAAGTATATGCTATATTTCTTCTTAATTTTCTGAAGCTGAAAAGTCATCAATAATTAAAAAAATAAAAATAATTATTCTTTTTGCCTGAATTATACATTTTTTTGTAAATTTTGCTAAACTTATATATACATCCGTATTTTTTTTTAATTACTAAAAATATAATCTGTGTTTACAATGAAATTAGAAAATTCAAGAAAAAATAATTTTGAGTGAATCAATAATATAATGCTTGGGTTTTTCTGTGAAAAAAAAAAAGTCTCTGCACACATATGTATTCGGCATGCGTGTGATATTTGAATATTAACCTGAACAAATTAAAACTGATGCTTATAATATTGTTGGAAGCCTGGTCAAATTAATTGAAGAGCCATAAACAGTATGTGGCTCTTAGATGTAACTGATATATACTCACTCTTGCACAAATCCAGAATTTTTCAAACCCTTTTGACGCATAAAAACCTTGAAACGCAGTTGTGGAGATGGCAGAAAGATTTGCATTCTATGGTTTAACAGGGAACTTGATAACTTTCTTGACCAATGATTTGGAAGAGACAACATCGGCAGCTGCTAAGATCGTCAACAATTGGGTTGGGGTCTCCTTCGTCTTCCCTTTACTTGGAGCCTTCATAGCTGATTCCTACCTTGGCCGTTCCAAGGCCATCATCTTCTCTTCCACCATTTATTTCTTAGTAAGTATGCTTAATTCAAACTGGCCTGCACAAAGGCTGAGGAATAAGTTTCTCCTCCTTGTCCTTTGTATATGAGCTAAATGGTAGATTAAATTTAGTTCTAAATATAAGATTTTATTTCCCGCTATCTATCATACTTATCATTTTCCCTCCAAATTAATGCTAGTTGGTCAGTTAAATTTTCTTCTAAATATATACGACTTTGATCTACTACTTTGTTTCACCTAAATTAGTTAATTAGTTTTTATATTAAAGGTCGGAAGAAATATATTATTGGATGATTTCCTAACACCACAACTTTGTTCATATAAATGTTTTGCACAGGGAATGATTTTGTTGACACTATCTGTATCAGTAATTCCTTTGCACAGCGGAAAGGCAGTGATTTTCTTGGCACTTTACATAGTGGCAATAGGCGCAGCAGGGCAGAAACCAATAGTTCAAACATTTGCAGTGAATCAATTTGAAGAGTCGTCATTAATGGCTAAGAGCTCCTTCTTCAATTGGTTCTACTTCGCATCTATAATTGCTCATGTCTCTGCCCTCTCCATTGTTATTTATGTCCAGGTATATCGTTCTTCTCCATACACATCATCTTCCATTAAATAATACAATTTGAAATCGTGCACTCAAACTCTAATGAGTCATATGCTTGCTAACACAATACTTGAAAATCAATCTAATGGCGTTAGAGCTAGGAATGCGGGCTGGCGGTGCGGATACGGGCCAGCCCGCAGCGATGCGGGCCAAAAGCAGTGCGGGCTAGCAAAACCGCCTAACCTTTTTTTTTTAAATATTATTATTTGTATAAGTTTGAGCTTAGTTTGTAATGTTAAAATTGGACTTTGAGTTTTAATTTGAGTAATGAGTTATAATAAAATAATGTGAGGATTAATTTATAATTTGAGAAGATATTTTAGAAAAACTAACACTATTTTTTTTAAATAATTAATTGACTATTTTTGTTATCCAAATTAATTAAGTAGATCTTTATGTATATATTACATATGCAATTACATAGATGAGAAGATATAAATATGAAATTTGGGGGTTAAAATCCTCCAATTATGTTGTATAATATATTAGAAATTATATAAAAATAAAAATTAAAAAAACAAAAAAAAGAGGGCTACCGCGGGCTAAAAACGGTGCGGGTTGGAGTAGCCCGCACCTTGGGGGTTGGCAAGAGCCAGCCATTTTTGGCGGCTGGGCCGCAAGCCCAGCCCGTTTACCAGCTCTAAATGGTGTCCTCATATTGATAGCAGGATTTGAAAACATCAGAATGACACTTGGATCCTACTTGATATATGGTCATGAGGCCTAACACCGTTAGCACTTAGCTGAGTTTCTTAATCATCTAGTCAGGAATTTGATTTTTAGCGGTGTGTATGGAGAGGGTCTTGTGACTAGCACTAAAGCCTCTTACAAAAGTCTACAGTGCAAGGGAATTAATCATTACTATTGACAGTAGATATCCTAAACTCAACCAAAAAAAAAGGGAATGATTTTTGCAGGAACATATTTGGAATTCGAATTGGAACAGAATGAGAGTCAAATTATGTCTGTTGTATCTATTCATACTTCCTCCGGACCCAAAGAATCTAGATGAACTAATTTAACAAAATTAATTTGATATATTATTGTTGGTCCTTCCAAATTTTTTTAACTCTCTTCATTGGAATTTCATGCTTTGCATATAGGATAACGTTGGATGGGCCATCGGGTTCAGCATATTGGCGGCGGCTGTGGCCGTTGCATTTGCTGTCTTCTTGTGTGGCATGAACAAGTATCGAAGACAAGTGCCCTTCGGGAGTCCCTTCACTTCGCTGGCTCAGGTGGTAGTAGCCGCCGCTAGAAAGTGGCGCGTGGATGAGACGCTCCATGGAAGAGGTGTTTGCTATGGAGATGTTGTTGCGTCTGAATATATGACTTTTTCTGGGACCAAAAAGTTTAGGTACGAAAATGAAATATCACTCAAATTATGTATACTGGTCTCCCTTCATTTTATCTAAATTGCAGATATTTTCTTTTGGTATTTAAAAGTCATAAACCTCTCCTAGAGTCAAAATTTATTGAGATAATATAATTATACTATTTAATCCTACCAGGAAAAATAACTACAATAACCTAATATTCTCACCCACACAGATCATATGCATATATAAATTATACGTATTCAATATGTATTTAACTAAAATATGCATTTAGATATATATTATAATAAAATTATTCGTCTATAAATATTAATTCATTTTATAAATTTAGGACAAATCAAAATTTTATACTTGTGAGTTTGGCGAGGACAAAAAAAGCATTTATATATATTGGGTTCCAGATGATACACACGCTTTTGGCAAAGGAAAAAAGATATATATATATATATATATATATATATATATTGGGCAAAGATACAAATTTGCTAAATTTTTACTGAGAAGCACTAGATACACAATTTTTTTTTGGGGTTCACTATTGCCCCAAAATTTTAAACCGTAGCAATTTTGTTCTCACCATTAAAATTTTAATAAACGATATCAATATATTAATAGTCAATGTCAATTTTTAACGATAGGAGGAAAATTTTTACGATATTAAACTTCTAAAGTAATATTGAATCCAAAAAAATTTTAGGTGCCCAACACTCATAAGTAAAAACTTCAAGGAAAATTTTACACCTTAACCCTATATAAATATATATCTTTTTGTGAACTAAATTTAAAAACTTTTCCTTAGACAAGATCTCATGTATAATGTGTTGAAAAATCTATTGAATATGATACTTCTCACTGAATCAGATTCTTGGAGAAAGCAATGATAATTGACGATATTGATGCATCAAGAAAAACCAGAGATCCCTGGAGGCTATGTTCATTAAACCAAGTGGAAGAAACGAAGCAAGTCCTACGTTTGACCCCAATATGGTTAACCTGCTTGTATAATAGTGTAGCCCTAGCTCAGCTCTCAACCTTCTTCACCAAACAAGCAAGCACAATGGTTCGATCCATTATTATTGGACCCCACCATCGCCATTTCATCATCCCACCAGCATCACTCCAATGCATCACAGGCTTCACCATCATCCTTATGATCCCAATCTACGACAGACTCTTTGTCCCGCTCGTCGGAAAATTCACCGGCAAACTCACTGGCATCACGATGCTTCAAAGACTAGGCGTTGGCCTATTCTTCTCTGTTCTAACCATGCTTGTGGCCGCCCTAGTTGAGGCCAAAAGGGTTGAGTTAGCAAGTTATCACAATCTCTTGGACAATTCAGAGGCAATATTGCCAATTAGGGTTTGGTGGTTGATTCCTCAGTACATTTTGTGTGGGGTTTCTGAAGCTTTTGGGATTGTGGGGCTTCAACATTTTCTGTATGATCAATTGCCAGAGGCTAAGAAAAGTTTGGGAGCTGTGTTTTGTATTTGTAATGTGGGGATTGGGAACTTCATAAGTAGTGGGATTATACATGTTTTGGAGGTTTTAAGAAAAGGGAAATGGCTTGGGAATAATTTTCTGAATAGGTCTCATCTTGATTTGTTCTATCTTCTGCTTGCTGTGTTGGGGTTTTTGGATTTAGGTCTTTTTGCTTTTGTTGCTAAGCGGTATGTTTACCGAAATGCCCCACAAAATTACCCTAACACAAAGCCTTGAAACAATGGCTTTATTTTTTCTTTTTTGAGAAATTGATAGCTATTTTTGGAGTGTCATATTATGTACACTTTTCTCAATAAAAATATATTCCATAGGGTGAGTGAAATAAAAAGATGAAAATTATTTAGCTGCTAGTATTTGATTTGATTTGGACTACAGGTGCTCATGATGATCTGTATCAAATTTTTTTTTCATATATTTAGATTGAATTATCATTTTAATATATTAAACTTTATTCATGAAGTATTTATTTTTTGTTTTTATGGACAAATTTATTATCTGATTATTACACAGATATTCATGCGCACACTGAATAAGTTATATCTTGGAAATGATACAATTTGTCATGCAGTGATTTGTGCTGTTTTGGTATTGAATTTGGGCTAAGGGGCTTTCATATAATATCTGTTCATGACTTCACTTTTCATTTGGAATATTTTATTCTCGTGTATATCCATTTGTTCTTTATTTTTAAGATTTTTAGGTTGATTTGTTTAAGTAATATTCCATTCGATTATGACTATTCAGGTAATAATAAATATATTTTTTATTCATCTAAAATTTAACCAACATCGTCTAATTTATCTATTTTTGTTTTTAAATAAAATATTCTATAAAAAGTTAAAATTAAAATTCTTTTTATTACTATCTTCAATCAGGAGTGCAGCCTATATTTTAAAAAACAAAATTTCCCAGGAGCTATCTCAATTTAGTCAAGCTAAGAAAACAAACCTTCTGTAATGATGCTATGCTATTCAATCTTTTAAAATGACTTTGAATGTTCATAAAATTAAAACCCATCCAGATAACACTTGCACATCGTATCTTTCTTCCAGTAAGTTATATTATTTACAAATCCTAAATAATTAATCATGACTCAATGGTTCCTTGATTAATGGTGAATCGTATTACATCTGTATTATTTGGCATCATTTCAAAGAAAAGAAAGACAAATAATACAAATATTAAAATATGTTATGTGATATTGTGAAATGCGGTACATGTATCATCTCAGATACATCTGTATATCAATCCAATCAACAAACACAAAGCAAAAATACATGAATGAAATTTCTGCAATTTTGCCCGATTGAATTTTCTGTACATCTAATCTCAAATGCTCACATATCAAAGTTTAGAAAATATAATTCATATATTTTATTAATTTTTTTTCTTATTCTAATCTCCCAAATTCAATATAAATAATTCAAAGTAGATTTGCATTACCTATACAGGCTTCTGGATATGCACGAGTATTAACTTTACCAATTTCTTTTCAGAGAGTGATATTATACTTGATATGGTTTTGGGGTTACCATGCATAAATTATTATAAAGCCATGGGCATCTATCGCATATATAAATATATATATATACTAAAGGAAGCAAATGTATATTTGAGTAAACACAAGACCACCAAGTTTCATCTCATTCTCTGTGTGGGTCCATATAGCTAAGCAGCCATGGATAGCACCACAGCTCCAATGGAAGCCAACTCTATTTGTGATCACAAACCCTCTAGAGGTGGCTGGAATGCTGCCATCTTCATCATTTGTAAGCTCCTTTTCTTTTCATAGCTATCTGATTGAGTTGGATTCGAGTATTGCCAGTTTTTTCTCATTTTATACATGAAGATTTTCTTTTAAGTGCTTTTTATGTCGTTAGGGCAAAATGCTAACTCTCACATTGGTTTAACTTGAAAATGCAGTTGTGGAGGTGGCAGAGAGGTTTGCGTTTTATGGGTTGAGTGGGAACTTGATAACTTACCTCACCAATGTTCTGCAACAGCCAACACCCATTGCTGCAAGAAACGTCAACATTTGGGTTGGACTCTCCTTCATGTTCCCTTTGCTTGGAGCCTTCATTGCTGATTCCTACCTTGGCCGCTTCATCACCATCATCTTCTCTTCCATCATCTATTTCCTGGTATATCATATTATTTGAGTTTGACATACATACAGGCAACATTAAATCTAAGGTTAATGTTTATCTAACATCTTGAAGTACTTTGTTGTCCATTTCACACCGTGATGTATTTTTCCTTCTGCGTTGAGCATCGCAAAATATTTTGTTGTGCAATATTCTTCTTAATTAAACTATTATTTTTTTGAAAATAATTTTTCCCTTAATTGAAATATTCATTTTTAGAAGTAATTTTTCCCTTGAAATATTTTGTTAGGAGCAACTTTAATCTTATTGTTAGCTCTCAAAAAGCCCCTTAAGTGAAGGTGATCTATCGCTTTGAGTCAATAGCACCTTCCAACTGTGGTTAGTGATTCAATTTCTAACAGAGCGACAACTGCAGTGGTGGCTAAAACATATCCTACTAAAACAGACAAGACTAGTACTAGTAAGACAAGAGCGTACCAAGGTTACATTTGGTAGGAAGCATTAAAAATAAGGGATTGAGATTGATTGCAATTGAGAAAATCTATTAAAAGAGTGTTTAGTATAAGAGATTGCTTGTTATATAGGATTAGTCAAACCCATGTATGTGGAATTAGAGAATACTATGGAAGGAAGTGGTATTCTCCGATCCCACTTAATAACAGCAGATGCGTCTAACAATCTAAAGTTTTTTTTCAGTAGCACCTTTAATTTAGGGTATTGGATGCATCTAAAAATTAAATATTTTAGAGTGTTGGATGGTCCAAAAAAGTATTTCAAAATGTTGGATGTGCTTGAAAATAAATATTTCAGGGTGCATTTTAAATGAACTTTAACCCTTAGATTTATATTGAAAGAACTTATACACTTTGTTTACACTAACTTTCTTGTCTTCAATTAGCCATAATTTGAACCTGAGTGTGCCTTTGGATAACGAGTTTGATGAAATATATTTACACAGGGAATGGTTTTGCTGACCCTATCAGTGTCGGTGGTTCCATTGCACGTTCGAGAGATAGTCTTCTTCATAGCGCTTTACATATTAGTGATAGGAGAATCAGGACACAAGCCTTGTGTTCAAACATTTGCAGCAGATCAGTTTGATGAAAGATCCCCACAAGAGAGAATGGCCAAGAACTCTTTCTTCAATTGGTGGTACCTAGGAATTAACATTGGTTCTGTATCTGCAGTTTTGGTGGTTGTTTATGTCCAGGTGATTAAATTAAACCTTGATTTAACTTCTATTCAAATGCTAATTTTCCAGTATTTTATTATATCTTCTGCTGGATTAAATTTTACATATGCATTATTCAGGACAATGTTGGATGGGCCACAGGGTTTGCAATATTAGCGACAGCTTTGGCTTTGGCCTTTGTATTTTTTCTGGTCGGTATAAAGAAGTACAGAAAACAAGGGCCATTGGGAAGTCCTTTCACGGCGGCAGCTCAAGTGTTAGTAGCGGCGGTCCGAAAGAGGGGCGTCGATGAGAGCCGCCATGGAAAAGGAGTTTTCTTTGGAGATACAAACATGGATGGAAATATAGATGTGGAGACTCAAGCTATAACTTCATCTCGCACCCAGCGATTTAGGTGATCTAATTTGATTCGAAATAATATTTCACACTACCTCCAATTTTTAATATAATAACTAGATAATTAATTTAGCAAAATTAAGAAAATTAGTTAAGTTGATTATTTGTAAAAAAAAAATATGAGTTGACTTTTCTAAATTATTCTCTTTAATCATATGCATTGGAACTATCTTTTGATAGGAACATTGACAATCAATAAGAATATTTTGGAGAAAAAATTATAAACTTAAGAGATAAAGTGAATTAAAATGTTATATTCATAACCAAATTCAACTCTTAACTGATGCTTATTCTATTAAGAACTAGAGGCCGTATTTCTCATGTACAACATATGAGACAAAGTTTTTACACTACTACTTTTGACATGTTTCAGATTTCTGGAGAAGGCAATGATAATTGATGATATTGATGCATCAAGCAACACCAGAAATCCTTGGAGGCTATGTTCATTAAACCAAGTTGAAGAAATGAAGCAAGTTCTTGGCCTCATACCAGTATGGCTAGCATGCTTGTATTTTAGTTTCGTCCATGCTCAAATGTCAACCTTCTTCACCAAACAAGGCAGTACAATGATGAGATCCATAGGATCTAATAATAACTTCGTCATCCCACCGGCAACACTCCAATGTGTGGCCGGCTTCGTCGTCATCACCTTCCTCCCTATCTATGATAGAATTCTTGTGCCTATGATAAGAAAATTCACTGGCAAACCCACAGGTATCACAATACTCCAAAGACTAGGAATTGGCTTATTCTTTTCTGTTCTAACCATGCTTGTGGCTGCCCTAGTAGAGTCCAAAAGGGTTAAAACAGCAAGCGATCACAATCTCTTGGACAGTCCAAAAGCAATAATACCAATTAGGGTTTGGTGGTTAATTCCTCAGTATATTTTGCTAGGGTTTGTGGATGCTCTTTGTATTGTAGGGACTCAACATTTGTTCTATGATCAAATGCCAGAGGCCATGAGAAGCATTGGGGCTGCATTTCATCTTGCAAATGCTGGTGTTGCAAACTTTATGAGTAGTGCTCTTATATCTATTGTGGAAGGAGCGAGCAAAGGGAAATGGCTTGGGAATAATTTGAATAGGTCACATTTGGATTATTACTATTTTTTGCTTGCTGGGATAGGGGTTTTGAATTTGGGTGTTTATGTGGTTGTTGCTAAGAGGTATGTTTATAAAAATGTTGAAGGGAATTATGAAAATAGGAGGAAGAAATGAGGAATGGACATCACAATCAAATTGTGTGAGGGAAAAAGCCTTGGTTAAGAAAGGTGTTTGTGGTTATAAAAAAAACAAAAGAAAAGAAAAGAAAAGAAAGGTATTTGTAAGGTGTATGTTTTAATTTCTTGTCGTTTGTTTTTTTTTTTTAAAGAAAATTAATCTTTGTAACTTTAATTTTTATAGTAATGTAATGGCTGCTGTATAAGAAATTCTATTTCAAGGTTTGTTTAGAGTATTTAAAACAACAGAAATGATTTTTCTCGAAAAAATGTCTGGACTAATTTTTTTTAAAAAAAATTGTCACATAATACGCACAGATTCTTCTTATTATTTTTCTCATCGGATGATCATCGAAGGGAGAAATTCATAAAATCATAATTGGTATTACTGTAGTTGTTTATATTTTTATTTTATTTTTTCGTGCCATTAGTAGTGGAAATTCCCCCCAATTAAATTTACTCAAGTTTATTTTTTTACTTGGTCACATATATAATTACATTACAAGAAAATTCTACATCCATTTTTGTGCATATTCTGATATATAGTAAGAATTTTTTTAATCTCTAATCATGATTTATGAAATGAAATGTGAGAGAAATTTTATTATGAATTACATGAAACATGTTTATAAACTACCTAAAAAAGCATATCCAAACCAGCTAACAAGCGGTGCTCATGCATTATATAAATTTGAGAACAAATCCTACCAGAAGTTGAGATCTATAAATTTTAATGGAGTTTCCCTTTTATCCTTTATTTTATAATAAAAAAGTTTAGGTGAATTAGGTCTCAGAGATTTACCAGGACTAGGATATGCTCTAGACTTCAAAATCACCTATCAACAGATCCTCACATTGGTAATAGAATTCGAACTCACGACTTTACGAGTTATAAGCCGACTCATTATCAATTCTTGTTAGTGTTTTCCCTTTTATATAATATTTGTATCATTTATTATTTTTTATAAAACATAAAATTTTCTCTCTCTTCCTTAAAAATAAAAATTTCAGAAAATTCACAAATTCTCAACTTTATAATCTATTATTCCCTATAATTTTATATCATACTCAAATATTTATACGGGCCCGTTCGGACCCAAGTGCGCCGGAGCTCCATCTGCACAAAATCCAATAGCGTGAACATAACGCTGCGTAAACCGCGCTTCTCTGTTCTGAAATTTTCATCTCCCTCGTTCCGCTCAGACAAGAAACTTGTTCCGTAATGCGTCGTCTTCTTCTTCTTCTTCTTCTCTATACCGATCCCTTGCCACGGTGTTAAGTTTGAAACGTGGGCCACAGGTCCGATGAGCGGAGGCTATCTGGGCTGCGGTTCACTCACATTGCAGATTTAGCTTTTGAAACCATGAAAGAGAGAGGATTCGGGTCAGGCGTTTTCCATTGATGGTAATACAGTTCGTTACGTTATTCTTTTTCAGTTTTTACTTGGATGCATAAACTAAAGCAACTGAATTCAAATCCTGGTAAATATTAGTTTCATTTCTCGATTGAGTTTAACGATTCAAGTATGTGAGACATTCATGGCTTTAAAGTGGTTTATGAGGCCACCCGAACAGCGTCAACTATGCCCTTGGTATCTTGAATACCCGTGGGCATCTTGAATCGCCCTGCATCAAACACAAATATCCTTTGACATCCAATTAAGATGCAGATGAGTGTGTGTCTGGCTCCTTACAACTTCCTCTTTTGCTACATTTTTCTTTAGGATTTGAATCCCTATCCATTTATTAATTGGTTCTCTATGTAAGACGCGCAACTTATGCTGTGCAACATTATGCATCTTTCTGTTAACATTTATAGAACATTCTTACATATGTATATTTTTTTCGTATTATTTGTTGTTTAGCTCATTATCAATGTTTATATTCACTGTTTATCAGCAATTTAGCTTGAATTCATCTATGGACAGCTTATGCCCTGCATGTTGATTTTGCGTAGCCTTGTAATTAATTTGTTTTGGGCGTCTTAGCTGTTTGTTGCCTTTGGAGAATCCCTTTCTTGCCAGCACATATTGCTTTCTTAAGATTTTCTTACCGGAGTTTTGAGTGCATCAAGCATGATTTTTAGTCAGATTTTTTATAACAATTTCTGCTTCCCGCCAAATATGATCTTCTTGCGTCAAATATGGGAAAAGAGTGCCCCTTAGATACTGAATAGTCAAGAGCGGAATTTTGGTGATGAGAATGCTGCCGAGCTGTTCTTGATGCATTGGATAATATGCTAAAGGACAGTATATAGCATCTGCGGATAATGACGTGGGATTTGATATCATAAACTAAGGAATTTGAGAGATATGGAACATGGTCAACATCACTGTAGTAAGTGCTACGAATATTGCTGGGCTATTTCCCTGGAACTTCATTCATCCCATTCTTGCATTTATATATCAATATCTATGGGGAGTTGTTACTGTAACTATTTTTGCCAATGGCTTGTACCGCCTGCTCTCTTCTTTGTGACATGCCTCCTTACTCCACAAAATATGTAGTGTGTACCGGCAATAATCTTAATCTAGAATAAATACTAACATGTATATAATTATACCCATAGTTCTGTATGCATGAGCATTTAAATGGGAGATGGTATAAATTCCGAAATGAATTTGCGCTTGTTTCTTCCATGAATTTTGTGGGAAAAGAACATCTTTGGCAATGAATCACAACCATCATTAGCTTTTTGTGCTTAGGGGTAGGAGGTAGCAGCTTTACACATTCAGAGTAAAATGGTGCAGAACGTTTTCTTGCTGATGTATTTACCCACAACCATGTTGTTAAAGGCCACTTCGAAATGGGTCTAGGGGGCAGGCAGATTGGCTTATTATACAGATGCTAGAACCATGCGCCTCTCCCAAATGTGCCTGCTACAAAACATTTATATAGGGTTATTGCCTTTTTTATAATTAGATAAATCTCTCTACCAGTTTTGCACCGCAGCTCATGCTAGCATTCAGCCGGGCAGGGTTACATGTAACGTGTACATTCATTATGTGGGAAAAATTCTTATGAAGGAAGCTAAAGTGCTTTTCGAGAAAATATTAAATGATGATGATGATGAAGGAATACCAGTTTAGTTGCCTCTACTATGTGGCCTATCATTAAGAACGGAGCTATGGTTCAGGCTCTTTGGTTTTGCGGTTACACTCAAGTGAAGTTCGAAAACTTTTATGATGCTTACTCCCTTAAGAAAGAGACGGTTTTAAATGAATCTGTCCTGATGTGGTTTCTTACGGTTCATTATTAGGTTCTGCTTGCAATTTTGGCAAACTAATTGGTGCCATGAGAGGTAACATAAAAGAGCCCTTTGCCAAGATACAGAAATCTAGTTTTTTTGAGTGATTATGTTCCAGTTCACATTCTTTCAAAAAAGTACTGCAAACTAGAAGAAACAGTCATGGCGTTTAACTAGTATCAGGATTGTTTAGTGTGTAGACGATGCAGTCATCTGTGCTATCACTGTATTATGCCAATAGCTTTAGACATTGCGTAGTCACGGGCTTTGGAAAAGCAAGCTGTACTTGAATGAAAGTCATTGTCATTGTTTTTCTGGGATAGACTTCAGTTAAAATGTGCTTCACATGATTGACAAATGCTCTAGGCATGTATCTCGGCAGACCATTAGTACAATCAGTACAGCATGGTACTATTTGATGAATTAGTCTTGTCTATAGTTCAGTCCTTTTGCTGAAGTCTGTACCTAGAAGCTTACCGTTATGTCGGATTAATTATTTTAGATGTTTTAATCATAGCGGTCAGGATGATGCAATAGCAAGTACAAAGGTCGCATTTTTCAATTTTCCCTGGAGTGTTTCGGCTGTTATCACCTGCCATGCCCCTCCTAAATTGAAAGCCAGACATATTATTGGTTGGGATATTGCTTGCAATATAACTTAATCAATAGAAGACTTAAAATTGATTTATGGACACACGCACATCTAATAAATTTTGCAGGTTGTTTTCACGTTGCTTATGAATTTCAGGATTTGATACAGTTCACAATTCAGAATTTGAAAATATAAACTTCCCATTTGCAATGTTAATTGTGGTTTGACAACTGTTCTAATCATTTCATGTTCTTTTCAGGATTCTGAACTTAATATTTTTTTTTTTCTGCTGAAATATTCGAATGCAGCTATGTGTATGTTCTTTATGTGAAAATAATTTTTCCTGCTGGTTGATGCCGTTCTGTAGATTAGCTTTCTGCCAAAGAATTTTAAATTGTTAGGAAGTAGATCCATGATCTGATGTACCCAGGCAAACATTTATCTCAGGAAAGAATTTTAAATTGTTAGGAAGTAGATCCATGATCCGATGTACCCAAGCAAACATTTATCTCAGGATTGAAGTCTGTTAGCAATCTCCGCTAATCTTTTGTTGATAGAAAACTCTGAAATCTAGTATTATTTACGTGAAAGAAAACAGAGCACCATCCTCTGATTTTCTAAGAAATACATGAACACAACTCTGGTGGTGACATGGTGACAAACAAGAGCAAAATATAAGATAATAGCATGAAGTTAGGCTAGGGGATTGAAACCTCGTTGAACCTCACTCTCCAGTATACACCCAGCCGACAGATCTTCTCTCACACAAATGCACACACGTGCGGACGCTTAGTATTATTTACATGAAAGAAAACAGAGCAACGTCCTCTGATTTTCTAAGAAATACATGAATACAACTCTGGTGGTGACATGATAATAAACAAGAGCAAAATATAAGATAATAGTTAACATGAAATTGGGCTAGGGGATTGAAACCTCGTTGAACCTCACTCCCCAATATACACCCAACCGACAGATCTTCTCTAACACAAATGCACACACGTGCGCATGCTTAGTTACCGGCTTGGCCCATTAATTAGGGGTCCAATATCTGTATAAACCATATATTCTTGTTGGCAAATTGTCGTGCATCATTGGTTTGCTGTCAAAATTTGGAGTTTCGGAATAAGATTTTGCATCACAAGAAATCTGGGAAATGCAATCGCATTGGATTCATTTTGAATTTGAAAATCAGCAGGAATTTATTTGCAGCCACATGGAGTTATGCGTATCTAACTCTGCCTGCGCGGGCTGAATACATTCAGGTTCCTGTTCATTCATGCTTATTCTTGTTTGTAATTATGCGGAGAACAATTTGGCAAAGAAATGATACAGAAGCATGGTTGTGATACTTATTGGGGCCGCATGAGGCTTATGGTGTCTTATTTGTCAGACTCAGCACTGTTGAGCGGGGCAAGGAATTGTTATCTCAAGAGACTTTGTGCTTTGAATCACTCTGAGAATAAGTGATGTTAGAGCTGTCTTTCAAGGTCCAAGTCAACTGTTTCCGGATTAAATGGTATGTGACCTTATGCTCGACTCAATATGATCATATTTTATATTCATAAACTTAATGTGTAAATTTATTCAGGAAAAATTATTAAAATATTATGAACTTCAAGGCAAGATATCTATTTCATACGCCATATCCAAGTACTATTGTATTTCTAAATAGTCGTGGTTGCAATATTTTAATAAAGTAATTATTTTTTGTTATTTTACCCTTTATATAAATAAAAATAATAATAGTTGAACCTTACATATTATACTATTTTATTTTAGTGTATTAATACAAAATCATTTTAGTTTAATATGATAAGATTTTGCTGTAATCTAGGTTTTTTAATAGCTCTTTTAATCTGTATAGATAATTTTAATTGAATGTTATTTTGAAAGTATATTCTTCTATGTTATTTTCTTGAAAAGTAGGAATATTGAGAATTTAGTTTAGAATACAGAACAGTACATTGAATCCAAAATTTGAGAGAATGTTTTAAGGTTTTAGATTGCCAAAAGAAAGGGATATGCAATGCAATGGCCATGGACTTGGGAAATTTTTTGTGCAAACCGGCAAAAGATGTTTGCTCGATAGGTCATTCTCATTCAGGCGAGGAAAAAACAAGGATAGGTCATTTTCATGTATCACTACTTTTTTCCTTATTTTTTGAAATGAAACGACGCAGAGTCAGAATTTATTTGTGCAGTGCTGCCAAAAACATTATTTGCTTGGCGCATTACCCGAAATTAAATTGACGTTACAAGTATTTTGAGAGTCGTACGTATCGTTTTTCTGAAAATTAAGAAAAACGTGGTTTTCTTTTACACGCCACATCTTTCTTCTCCCGCTGAAATTTTAGACTTTTTCTCATTCACGTGTTATTTGCACTGAGCTTATCTATAAACTTAGGACTCTGCTGAAGTATAATAAAATTCAATGCTTATCCTCTTTTCAAAACAAATAGACCATCTATTTCATGTTAAGTCTAAAATAAAGGGCCTACAAAATTTTTACTATATTAATATACGTTTCGATTATATCGTGACCAAATTGCCTGAACTTAGTACAACAATGATGTGATTATTTTCTTCTTAAGGTTTATTTTTTCCTTGATGTGTTCCCTTTTAAAATTCTAGTGGTAATTGTAACTATGCTAGCTTGCCCCCTTTGATTGATACTAGAATTCTGGTTATCTTTGCCGCTAAAAAATAAAGACAATGTAAATGCCATTTTTTCAATGTTATTATCAGCTTCCCAGCACTTCCTTTTCCAATATTTCGTTTCGTAAAAAAGCTATGCTCCATTAAGCAGATTCTCCATTCCTTTGTTTCTTTGCTGATGATGAGATTATTCTCTAGTTTACTGTTCTTCTTTCTTGAAAGGGGGAAAAAAAAAGATATGTATATATTACCTCCGGTCCTAATCATAGGACCGGAGGTAGTATATAGGTATAGGGACAAGAAATTCTAGTTTGGAATACATAACCAAAAAAACATAAAACTTTAGTTTGATTTGGATTATATGTGAAGTGTGACGTGTAGAGAAGAAGTATATTGTTTGCTTGGCTTCTTTGTTGAGTTAACATAAGATGGTTGAGGATGAAAAAAAACAGAGTAGGAAGAAATAATAGGACAAGCCATCCTATTTATAGGGCGACTCGAGAAAAAGTTTTTCCCTTTCTTTTCCTGAAAAGAAAAAAAAAAACTTCAGAGCAGTGGAAAAGCAGAGCTAGAGTAAGATTTGTAGCATCAAACCTGGCTTACATTTAATATCCTCTTATTTTATTTTTTATATTTTTAATAATGTTTTATTTTAAGAAATATAATTCAGAAAAGATAAATAAAAAGACATAAAATTTAGACCGTTTAAACTAAATTTTAAGGGTGAGCCGAAAAGCCCCACTCGGGCATTAGTATCCTATCCTCTCTATACCTTTTGCTTCTTCATGAATGTCTGAAGAGCTGCAGATTTGTGCGTCTGCGTCCCTACCCATTGAAGCCATGATAGGAAACACTGTTCATTTCAATTCAAATCCTTTTCAGATTGATTGCCCATCACACATGATTCATACATTTTAGAGTTCTTGACAACAATCGTGCAGCCATCATACCTTCAATTCTTGTACACGTTTAGCCCCAATTATTATACCTTCACCAACTTGCCATTTTCGAATAAATCCTTTGTTATATCGTACAAGTCAATGAATCTTGGTTACCATGTATGTTTTAGATGGTGAAACTAGATTTATTTTAATACAGAGCATAGTATCATCAAAGTACTCCTCTTCTCCCTAAACATGAGTTAATTAAGAAGCTCATGATTTTGGTCACTTTAATTCATTTATCTTTTATATTTATTATTTCTCACCAAATTAATTTCTCTAATTTATAAATTAATATATATAATCTAATGTTGTATACCATTAGGAAAAATAGGTCTTATTTGTTAAAATTAAATAATTTATTCAGTTTTTTTAATCTATTTAGATTGGTTAAATAGTCCTTACATTAAAAATCAAAAGAGTGGAAGGCTGCATGTTCAATTCTACCTATAATTCCTCAAAAAGAAAAGGGCTGGCTTCACTATTTTAAGTAGTTCATTTCTTTTCAGCTACACGTACTCAATTTCTCTCGTAATATGGACAACCTGAACATTATTGACTAGGTAGCTCCTTATGAACTATGAGAAATAAACTGATGTATTAGCTATTCTTAATATAACATCTATTTTATAAAGTAAATCTTATATGAAGGAATAAAGGTAATATTTCATTTCTGTGCAAGTACAGTATAGGAAATTATGTAATCATTATCAACGTAAACTTTGGGAATCAATCAAACAACAATTAATTCTAGTGGCTCCACATTTGTACTGTCGGGTTTGAGTCTAGTCTAGCTATTTGACAAGCTTTGCATGAATTATTGACATCGGCTAGAGTTTAATGCAGACTTAGAAAAAAATTATAAATTTGTAAGGCAGGGTAAATTAAAATCTTACATTTATAATCAAAGTGAATATTTGTTTAGCTTATATATTTAGCACCCAAGGTAAGATGTGTGTCAGGACAACAATTAGTTTTTTACTTATTACATATATTAGGGAACTTTGAATCAAGTAGTTTTAATGCATATGATTAAAGATAATAGTTTGGAGAAACCAAGATATATATGTTTTAAATAATTAATTTAACTAATTTTATTAATATCTGTAAATTAATTATTTATCTATTATATTAAGGAAAGCGTCTTAGATGGTATATAATTATTCTATGTTATGTTATTGATGAATCATGGCCATATGAATAACACAAATCATGACTATGTGAGTAAAAGGACTCATTTTGACTCTGTACAAATATTCCAGCTGCGTTGATAGTGCTATGAAAAAAAGGGTAGAAGATGCCATGTATTTGTGCAGCAACAAATTCATGGGTGGAGTCATTGAATGTAATGAGGAAACACAATTTTCAGGAAGAGTGGGGTTGCCTAGAAAGTTCCCTCCGCATTGGCAGGTCTGCTTTTCCACTTTCAGATGCCATTTGAGTCAATCACTATTGCTTGCTGGCCAAACAAATAGCATCCCATATTATATTATTCCCACTCAACATATAGGCAGGTATCTGATCATGCCAGCTACTTCATGTTTAATTTTTACTCTCATCCCCAACAAAATTTGAGTCATTTGAATTTTATGTAAATTATTTAATAATCATATATGAAAATATTTTTTTTTTTTAAAAAAAGAAGACATGATTATAATTGAGGAAAATTTCTGAAAAAATCCTGATGGAAATTTTATTGCCCATAAGGTATCTGAAATTTGTTCAAGGACTCAAGTTCTTAAGTAGGTACAACTCTTCAATTATGTGTAACATATACATTCAATTATGTGCAAATATTCTCCTTTTTAAAGATTTTTGCTTCTAGTTGAAGATCCATTAAAGACTAGTTGCACCCACTGAAGGACCTATAAATTTCACCTTTGGATAATAAATTTTTTAATGTGGGATTTTTCAACAATTTTTTCTTATAATAAAATAAATCATTAGGAATATACAAAGTATGCGTGTTATATGTGAAATGCAACATGTGATGTATTTGGTGTTGTGAGTGTGCTACTGACACAGCCTGATGTGAAAGATGGAGCCTTTATTAGTTTGCTGCAGATTTTGATTCATATCATGTGCTCTCTCTCTCTCTCTCTCTCTCTCTCTCTCTCTCTCTCTCACTACTTCCCACTTTCACCATTTGATAGGGTTCTTGTGGATGTGGTGAGGCTTCGTGCAACCATGCACTCCTCTTATTTACGGTTAATATAAATCCTTCTATTAAACATAATATATGTGGTCAAGCATATTGTAGCTTCCAAATTTTCGAATTTAGAATTTAGAATTCACTAGATTTTTAATCCTTGAAAATTATGCTTCCTTCTTTTCTTTTCTTTTCTTTCTTTCAATATAGTACACATAATATTGATTCACCGTTGTATTGATATATGTTTGTAGTCGAACTTGTGATGATTATACCATATACGTTACATAAAAATCATATATCTTGAGTTGTGGATAACCAATAGTGTGATTTATAATGGATTGTGATACACAAGAAACATATCTAATAAGTAAATGATGCTTTGTTTTTTCATCCTCTTAATAAAATAATGTATATTTTTAAAATGTTTGTTGCTTTATGATTTGTTAAAAAATAATTCTTTTCACTCTTAATTAATATCTCAACATTCTATTAGTGTATCTGAGACAGCAATTTTCTTTTGTGTAGAAGAGAAATTTTTTAATACAAAAAGTTGACCTTTGCTAACAATAGAGATAATCCCAAGCTGCCAAGGGCAAAAGTCAAAATTTTTTTCCAACTAAAGTTGCCACCTACGAGGGTTAAGATAGACTCGAATCTCCAATTATTTGCTCAAGTGACAAAAACCTCTGTCACTCATGTAAAATTGAGTTGGTTTGTGAGAGTATTTGAGCAATGGATAAGGTTAAACGCACGCACACATATATAATG